ATCCTTAACATAAGTGTCCTGAATGAGTTAATTGGCCGGCTGGCATAAATCTGGCATCCTCCATGATGAGATCGATCTACTGATCTTAATATCTCGCACTTTCGTTTGAAACGAAGGTAAGCTCAAAAATAGTGCATTAGAAGATTAATAGGATACCAGATACTCTTCATTATGGCAATTTTTTGTTGAAGAATAGCTTCAAGAATTCATTCAAACTTGCTTTAAACTTAAAAGCTTCAATTTTACAGACCGTGTGATGTTTTTTTAGTGTCAAAAGTAGTTTTATTAATATTTATTCTGTCCTATATTTATATTTTTGCAAGAATAAGAATGTCATATTTATTAGAACTTAACAAAATGCTAATAAATTTTAGACTAAATAATTATTTGGTTATACAAATTAGCTTATGCTATTCATATTAGTTTGCTTGTTTATGCACTCTATTTCGTTCCTGCAAATATTATCCGGACTCTTCCCTTCCTTGCTCGTTCCGTGCCTTCTTAACCTTGCAACTTGGAATGACTACGACGAGGATCCTTGTTATTCTAGGTGAACTTCTTAATGAAAATCAAAAAGAAATCCTACAACGAGATGCGACTAACGGTAACGCCCGGTTTTGGTCCTCGTACACATCTGTCGATTATTTTTATGTATCCAAATTATCATGTCCTTCAGCATGTTTATTGCGAATCTTTCGTCCTTCTAAAACGAGTTCATTAACAGCCATTGCTTTCTTCTAAGGTTTCTCCGCACTTTTGACCTCCGTGAGTGATGACCTCAATGCCACACTTGAACAATTATCTAATGCAACTCCTTCTCATGTTATAGAGGATGGTAAGTGCAGATTAGCACAACTATTTTTAGGATGCACTTTTATTAGCTTCTCTGCAAGCTCGGCCTCTCTCTCAGTACTTGCGCGGCCCTCTCTAACACAACTATTATCAGGAATATCAGAACTATTTTCTCTTACTCTTCATCCTCTGCCTAAAACGATTATCAATGCATATATCGTTTACTCTGGACTTGTTTCTGAAGGTGTTGGTCACTGGATACTTCCAAAGGGAATCTTCACTCCTTCACTTTTGCTTAATCACCTTAATAGCATCAGCAAATTGGTGAGCCCATTATAACTAAATTAAATAAGGATATTATTTTGAGTTCGTACTTGCTAACGTTTATCCAAAGGTTTCCGCAAAATGTCCTGCTGGTGGGGACACTTCACCTGGGTGCCGCTTTAATTTGCGCATCTGTTCAACTGCTATATCTTCTGGTGGCGATTGGCGGCACTTACTTTCTTCCACCTCCTGTGTAGGCTTTGGTCAATTGCCAGCCCTAGGCCCTTATACGATAAATTTGCTTTCTGTAAATAAGTCAAACGTCGCGAAGATGCAGCCTAAGTCGAAACCTATCGCCGATGATTCTCTTGATTCCAAGCCCGATCTATCAGGTTCGTTACTTCTGTTAAATTTCGTTAAATATATTATTTCTCATTTATATTTTTTATATTTTTCTAGCCGCTCAAGCGTTAATGGCTAGCGTAACACAACTTTTGCCTGCAAATTATTGCCCGTCTATGACTCTTACTGGCCGTAAGCC